CCCTTTTACTCCTGCGTTTTTCCCCCACCCTGTTACTCCTGCGTTTTTCCCCCCACCCTGTTACTCCTGCGTTTTTCCCCCGACCCTGTTACTCCTGCGTTTTTCCCCCCACGCTGTTACTCCTGGGTTTTTCCCCCCACCCTGTTACTCCTGCGTTTTTCCCCCCACCCTGTTCCTCCTGCGTTTTTCCCCCCACCCTGTTACTCCTGCGTTTTTCCCCCCACCCTGTTACTCCTGCATTTTTCCCCCCACCCTGTTACTCCTGCATTTTTCCCCCCACCCTGTTACTCCTGCATTTTTCCCTCCACCCTATTACTCCTGGGTTTTTCCCCCTACCCTTTTACTCCTGGGTTTTTTCCTCCCCGTCTGGCTCCTGCTCCATCATGGCCACCCTGGAGAAACGGCTTGTGAACCCTGAATATCTGAGGCAGGTCTCAGTTAATTTAGAAAGTTTAGGCTGGGTGCAGTGGCTCCTGGCTGTAATCCCAGCACTTGGAGAGGCTGAGGCGGGCAGATGACCTGAGTTCAGGAGTTTGAGACCTGCTTTGCCAACATGGTGAAATCTCATCTCTACTAAATATTCAAAATTAGCCGGGTGTAGTGGTGGATACCTGTAATCCCAGCTACTGGAGAGGCTGAGGCAGGAGAGTCGCTTGAACCCGGGAGGCAGAGGTTGCAGTGAGCCGAGATTGCACCACTGCACCCCAGCCTGGACAGCAGAGCGAGACTTCGTATCAAGAGAAAAAAAAAAAAGAAAGTTGAATTTGCCAAGTCTGAGGACGCGTGACCCTGACACAGCCTCAGGAGGTCCTGACAATATGTTCCCAAGGCTGTCGGGCCCAACCTGGTTTTAGACATTTGGGGAAGACGTGAGATATCAATCCACATATGTAAGATGTACATTGGTTCCGTCCTAAGGCGGGACAGCTCCAGCAGGGAGGGGGTTTCCAGGTCTCAGATAGGTGAGAGACAAACGGTTGGTTCTTCTGAGTTTCTGATTGGCTGTAACCAAGGAGGCAATCAGATGTGCATTTATCTCAGCAAGCCGAGGCGCTTTGAATAGAATGGGAGGCATCTTCCATCTGAGCAGTTCGCAGCTGGACTTTGTCCTTTAGCTTAGTGATTTGGGGGCCCCAAGATTGATTTTCCTCTCACAGGTTGGTTCAATCCCAGAATAAAGGAGTTCCAGCCCCTGCCCATTCTGGGGTGTGTCCACTCAAGTGAGAGGCTGTCCCAGAGCAGATACTGGGGTGCAGTCTGCCTCTCAGGGGAAGCCCTCCTTCCTCGGCCTAGGGCTGTGACCAGGCCTGTGTCCCCCACGGCAGGCACTCCAGGCTTCACTGTCTGTCTGATACAAAGACTCTTGTGCATGTTTGGCAGGAAGACCTCCAGGCTCCCGTGGTCCTGTGTTAGTAGCAGACAGAAACTCCAGTGTCACTTGTCAGCACAGCCTCTCCTAGCCTACTTTTGCATTTTCACATTCTGTCCTGAGCACGTCATGTGGTGATGTGGCAGGGTTCAAAAGCATCCCTTTACGTGGCCTCACAATATTCCCAAAGGCGAGTGAGCATCCCCTGCCCAGCAGATCTTCACTGAATGCATATTATGTGCCAGGCCTTGAGCTTAGACGTCAGAGCACAAAACCACTGCAGACACACCCCCTGCCCTCCCGGCACTACCAAGGTTACCAGCACCCCCTGCCCCTGCCAGCCCTGGAGTGTTCATTCTTTCCGCTGTGTCTTTATTATAAATAACTCTGCATGGAACATACCCTTGGGACCGTTCTGTATCACCATCTTTACAAAGACTGAGAGCAGGAAAATGACAGGCCCACAGAGATCAATTCCAGGGTCAGAGACAGGCTGCGCTGGGCTGACCCACACGGCCCTGGGTGTCCATTCTCAGCTCCTGCGACATTCAGTCAGACAGCATGCGGCACGGGCTTCTCCCCTAAGGGAGTTCACCCTGAACCATAAGCCCACAAGCTAGGTAAATTAACTCATCTAAGGTCGCACAGTGAGATACAGGGAGGTGCTAGGATGATGCCAAAGCTTGTCATTCAACCCCACCACCACTGGCCCTGGAAACTGATAAAAACATCAACAATAAAATGCCTCCAGCTGCTGCTGTGTGGGCTGGGAAGGATGGTGAGGGCTGCACGTGGGAGTTTTTAAATCAACTTTTAAATTGACTATATATAGGCCGGGTGTGGTAGCAGGAGCCTGTAATCCCAGCACTTTGGGAGGCCGAGGCAGGCAGATCACAAGGTCAGAAGTTCAAGACCAGACTGGCCAACATGGTGAAACGCCATCTCCACTAAAAAATACAAAAGTTAGCTGGGCATGGTGGCTCATGCCTGTAATCCCAGCTACTTGGGAGGCTGAGGTAGGAGAATTGCTTGAACTGGGACCCTGGAGGCAGAGGTTGCAGTGAGCTGAGGTTGCCCACTGTATTCCAGCCTGGGCTGCAGAGCGAGACTCCATCTCAAAAAAAACATTTTTCTTTTTCAAATAAATAAATAAATAACTAAACTACATATAGAAAAGTAAGTAACTCCTATGAGTACAGGTTGATGAAGTTTCCCAAGGTAAGCACAGAGATTCAATTAACAGAACCCCTCCCCAGAAGCCCCCATGCCCTTTCCCATCAGGATCCCCTCCCCACTCCCCGGAGGTAAACCCTCTTGGCATCCAGCGCTGTAGATGAGTTCTGCCTGTTCCCGAACTTTATAAAAACGGAAGCATACCATGTTTAACCCTTTGAGGTGACAATCCTGGCGGCCCATCCTTGCATGGGACTTCTTACCAGTCAGGTTCCAGCCTAAGCCTAAGTCCTGTGTTTTATCAGGTCACCAAATCCTCTCCATAACCTAATGAAATAGGTCCTGCCATTAGCATCTCCCTCATTTTGCAAATGGGAAGAAGGCACAGTTCGTGATGGCAGAGTCAGGACTCGAACCCAGGCAGTGTGGCTCTGGAGGCTGCACTCTGCACTCCACCCGACACCACCTCTTCTGAAGGAGGTACCCTTGTTAGCTCCATTTTACAGAAGAGGAGACTGAGGCTTGGAGAGGCTGAAGTACCTGGCCCTGTCCTACAGCCTACTCCAGCTCCAGGGCCTGACACCGCCCTGTACCTCTCCCTTCCCACCCAGCCCCCCAAGCCCCCAGCCCCTAACAGTGTCTGACTCTGGCCTCCTGCATCCTCCCCGACAGAGGCCTTCGAAACAGCCGGGCTACGGCCGGGGACATCGCCCACTACTACAGGGACTACGTCGTCAAGAAGGGTCTGGGGCATAACTTTGTGTCCGGTGCTGTGGTCACAGCCGTGGAGTGGAGGACCCCCGACCCCAGCCCTCTCTTCCAGGTGAGCGGCTTCCTGACCAGGGACCAGGGCCGGCAGCCCTTCTCGCTGTGGGCCCGCAACGTGGTCCTTGCCACAGGCACGTTCGACAGCCCAGCCCGGCTGGGCGTCCCCGGCGAGGCCCTGCCCTTCGTCCACCATGAGCTGTCTGCCCTGGAGGCGGCCACAAGGGTAGGGGCAGTGACCCCAGCCTCAGACCCTGTCCTCATCATCGGCGCGGGGCTGTCGGCGGCCGACGCAGTCCTCTTCGCCCGCCACTACAACCTCCCTGTGATCCATGCTTTCCGCCGGGCCGTGGACGACCCCGGCCTGGTGTTCAACCAGCTGCCCAAGATGCTGTACCCCGAGTACCACAAGGTGCACCAGATGATGCGGGAGCAGTCCATCCTGTCGCCCAGCCCCTACGAGGGCTACCGCAGCCTCCCCGGGCACCGGCTACTGCTCTTCAAGGAAGACTGCCAGGCTGTGTTCCAGGACCTCGAGGGTGTTGAGAAGGTGTTTGGGATCTCCCTGGTGCTGGTCCTCATTGGCTCCCACCCTGACCTCTCCTTCCTGCCCCGGGCAGGGGCTGACTTTGCAGTGGACCCTGACCAGCCACTGAGCGCCAAAAGGAACCCCATTGACGTGGACCCCTTCACCTACCAGAGCACCCGCCAGGAGGGCCTGTACGCCGTGGGGCCACTGGCCGGGGACAACTTCGTGAGGTTTGCGCAGGGGGGCGCCCTGGCTGTGGCCGGCTCCCTGCTAAGGAAGGAGACCAGGAAGCCGCCCTAACATCCGGCCAGGCCCGCTGGCTGCCAGGCCCTGAAGAGGGCAGAGATGACCACATACCTGCTGGATCCAGAGCCCGTCCGACAACACCCCGGGGAGGGCTGTCAGCCCGTGTAGCTGGCCTTTGGGGTTAAGAGGAGCGGGGGGCCCAGGCTTCTCTGGACTTAGACCAGTGTCCAAGGTGGTAACAGTGGCCGCAGACCAGGGTCGGCCTAGACCTAGGATTTTGGGGATAACCTGCTAGTGTGAGCTGGAATCACCAGCAGCAGCTGCACACCCAGCCAGGAAGCCTGCACGCCTGCGCTTTCCAGAAGCAGGTCCCAATAAAGCCAGTGCCCGCCTGCACTCATGTGTCTGAGGACTCTGTGCTCAGGGAGGGATCTGCATTCCTGGGACCCCACACTGGGCTGGAGGGAAGGAGACTGGGGGAGGAGAGCTGGGCCATGTGGTCCTAGATGAGGTCCATGGCTGGGGCCTTGGGGTGCAAAGGATGGTGCCCCAAGTGTGGGAGCAGTTGAGCAGGCAGCTGTACTGGAGCCCGGGGGCAAGAATATCGGGTGTATGCAGGGAGTGGTGTCCAGGAGGGCACTGGAGCCCCGCCTCCCTCCAGCCTGTTCCAGGCCCCGCTCCTCTCTGTTCTGCCAGGCAGCCTCCTTTCAGTTCCTCCTACTGGCTGGTTCCCTGCCTGCCCCACGGCCTTTGCACAGAGGGTTGTCAGCCCAGGACATTTTCCTGCCTTCTATAACTCCTCTTCCTTGGTATCTCTCAGCATAAGAATCACTTCCTCTTGGAAGCTGTTTCTGACATAAACCCCCCCACTGCCATCCGAGCAAACACTCCAAGGTGTTACCTTTCATAACAATTCAGTTTTAGTTTTCTATTTTTTTATTTTTTGGAGACAGACTCACTCCATCGCCCAGGCTGGAGTGCAATGGTGCAATCTCTGCTTACTGCAACCTCTGCCTCCTGGGTTCAAACAATTCTCCTGCCTCAGCCTCCCAAGCAGCTGAGATTACAGGTGTCCCCACCTCGCCCAGCTAGTTACTGTATTTTTAATAGAGATGGGGTTTTATCATGTTGGCCAGGCTGGTCTTGAACTCCCGAACTCAAGTAATCCGCCCTCTTTGGCTTCCAAAGTGCTGGGATTACAGGCGTGAGCCACCACACCCGGCCAGCAATTCGGTTTTAATTGTTCATTTATTTGTGGAATCACTTCAGTGTTTGACTCCGCCCATTTGGATGTAAGCTCCAGGAGGCTAAGGACACCATCTGTTTTGCCCATTGCTGGAACCGAGCACTTGGGCACCTGCCTGACACCTAGTGGGTTTTCCTTAACTCAGCTTTTAAATGGATGGATGGATGGATGGATGGATGGGAAGATAGGTGGGTGGATGGATGGGAGGCAGGATGGGTGGGTGGGTGGGTGGGTGGATGGATGGATGGAGGATGGATGGATGGGAGGGTGAGTGGGCCGGTGGGTGAATGGATGGGAGGGAGGAAGGGAGGATAAATGGGTGGGTGGGTGGGTGTATGGATGGATGGGAGGATGGTGGGTGGGTGGATGGATGGGTGGGTGGATGGATGGATGGATGGGAGTGTGGGTGCGTGGGTGGGTGGATGGACGGATGGGAGGATGGTGGGTGGGTGGAAGGGCGGGTGGGTGCATGGACGGACAGATGGGAGGCGGTGGATGGATGGATTGGAGGGAAGGTGGGAGGGTGCATAGATGGATGGGTGGATGGAGTGGGAAGGAAAGATGTTCTGGGGTGAAAACTGGTTCTGGCAGTTGTGTAATGAAGGGGGCGGCCTGAGGGGGCATGCGCCCCGCGGGAGGTAAGGGTGGGCGCCCGCGGGTGTGACGGAGCCGCGGTGCGTGGGCGCCGCTCCCCAGGGCTGGAGCCGGCAGAGGGCGCTCTGGGCTCGCTGGACACCCGCGCTCAGGCCCCTGCAGAGCGTCGCGAGTGGGAGGGGGGGACTTCAGAAGCGGGGGCAGCAGGAGACTTTTGGGGACCAGATCCCAGGGGAGCCGCCCCGCCCCCAGGCCCCAACTTCCCCGAGCCTCCGGGCAGCCCCTTCTGCGGCCGCGCCCCGCGCCCCGCGCCCCATGCCCCAGCGGGGAGTCCCCAGGCCCGGCGCCCGTCCGGCGGGGGTGGGGGCGGCGGGGAGCGGGCACGTGGCTCAGGGTCCGGCCGGCCCGCCCCCCCGGCGCCGGCCAGTCCCCGCGGTGTCCGCGGCCGCGCGGGCATTGGGAGGGAGGGCGGGCCCGCGCGGGGAGGGGGTCGTGCGGGGGCGGGCAGCGGCCAGGCGGGGGTCGGCGGGCTTCCGGGCGGCGGCGGCGGGCGCGGCGCGATGTGCGAGCGGGCGGCGCGCCTGTGCAGGGCCGGCGCGCACAGGCTGCTCCGGGAGCCGCCGCCGCAGGGCCGAGCGCTGGGCGGGCTGCTGCGCTGGGTGGGCGCCAGGATGGGCGAGCCCCGGGCGCCGCTGGCCCCCGCGGACCCCGCGGACCCCGGCCCCGGCCCTGCCTCGCCGCGCGGGGGCACTGCCGTCATCCTGGACGTGAGTACGCGCCAGCCGGGACCCCCGCCGTGGCCTCTGCCGGGATCCGGAGCCCCCTTCGCCCCTCGGGCGGACCCCGACGCCGCCCTAGCTCGCCTCCGTAGGGACGCGCGAGGCCCCCCTACCGGGGCAGGAGACCCCCGGCCTCTCCCCGCCCCTCCGCGTCCCAGAGCGGGAGCCTCCAGCCCCGTCCTCTCCCTGGACCGAGAGACCCCCTCCTCCGCTCCTCCACCCGCGCTCCTCGGGATCCCTGCCCGCCCGCAGTGGGGATCCGTGAGCCCCCGGACCCGCCCATCGTCCCCCGCGTTTTGTCCCAGCCAACCCCCCCACCCTTTACCCTGCGGGACACGAGCCCCTCGCCGTCGCCAGCCCCCTCCTCCTCCCCATCTCGGATCCCGTCCGGAGGGACACTTAGTTCTGAGGCCTCCAACAACCCCTGCCTCTCTTCGCTCTACACCTTGAGCCTTCCACCTCATCTCACGCCCAAAGACCCTTTGCCCCAGCCACTGCCACTTTAAAAGTGAAGTCCCCTGCCCGCCTTCTGTCTTCTCGTCTCCTTTCCATACTGTCAGAGCCACCGCCCATCAGCCCTGAGCCGGGACTCCTCTGGCCTTCCCCACCTCGCTCCCTTCCATTCCAAGCCCTCTCCTGTCCTCTGTTCCCTTCCCCACACCCCCTCCCCTACCGAAAGCTGGGTCCTCTTCATTTACCACTCACCCCTCACCCCTTCTAACTCCCCTGGGACCCAAACCACCTACCTCTGGGAAGCCCATGTCACCCTCCCCCTCGCCCCACCAGGGAGGGAGGAATCTTCAGGGAGTGGGTTGGGGGAGGAAGACTTCTCCTGGCAGAGAGCGCTGGGAGGAGGTGAAGGAGGCGTCTGGGGGTGTGGACTAGGTGTTTCAGCCAGGGTCCTTCCAGAGCGGGGATGGGGGCTGCCTCTGGCTATGTGGTGGGTTTCCGGGAGGGTTGGGGGTGTGTGTGAATGTGTACACGTGTGTATCGCAGATCCCTGTGAGAAGGGGGATTCTCTTCCTTCCTCTCTCCTCTTCCCTGCTCCTGGAACCCTCTGCGGGATCTGGACTGGAAGGGCTGGACAGGGCGTGGGGAGCTCTAGAGTGCCACACTCACAGGCACACACGCACTCACACGCTCGCTTAGGCACACACACACGCACTCACACACAGCCAGCCACACACCTGTGCAGCCACGCCCTGCGCCAGGACCCCAGCAGAGCTCCCACTGAAAGTCCTGGACTGAGCCCTGCCACCCCAGGCTGCCCTTCAGGGAAGCCTTGCCCTGTGAGGTGGGGGCTCTGAGCCTCTGCCTCGGGACCTGCGACTTGGAATGATGAGCGGGGGCGGGGCTGGGGGGGTGCTCGTGTAGACTCCTGCAGCTGGCTGAGGTTACCAGGTGTTAGCCCTGTCTTGTCACTCGTCGTATGTTCAGGGTTCCTGCCCAGAGTTGGCACCTGCCTGGTTCCTGGCCTCAGGGGGGATCTGGGATACCTAGATAGGGACCCCAGCTTTGAGGAACCTTGCGCAGTCAGGAACAGGGCTTCAGGGTGCCCAGGCTGGAGCTCTGAGGAGGGCCTGGGGGTCTGAGGTTTAGCCAGGAGGAGAGGCAATGTTTGAGAGGTCCTCCGGAGCTGTGCTTCAGTCACACCACCCAGGCACTTGGAAATGGCCAAGGTGTCCCTGTCTCGTTGCTTGGAGAGATGGAGGGCAGGGGCTCCTGTCCTTTTCCCCAAGGCAAGGACTGAGGGTGGAAGGGTCAGTGAGTATTACCTCCTCCTCCTCTGTAGCTGACCTGGCCCCAGCAGCCCTCCCTGGTGTCTAGGGAAGTGTGCACGTGTTGCCCCCCTCCCTGGGTCTCAGTGCCCTCTTTGCTAAAACAAGCCGGTAAGAGGGGTGGGGGCCCCTCCAGGAAGGGAGTGGGATCCTTCTGAGGCTTTAAAGTGCTGGTTACAGTGAGGGGTCTGAGTGCACTACAGCACAGAGTAGGTGGGACACCTCACATTGCAAACTCCTGCAGGGCCTGGAACTGCTCCTGTGAATAGCAAGGTCTTGGCGCACAGGTGTCAATGCTGAGTGTGCCTGGGAAGCTTGAAAAATGCTGAAATCAGAGCCAGCCTCACAGCAGCTGATTCAAGCCTCCTGGGGTGTGGCCTTGGCTCAGGAGGTTTGGAAAGCGCTCCAGGTGATGGTGTTGGAAGGGACGGAAAGTTGCTTTGGAGCCTCAGCCGGGCAAGTGGCACCCGCCAGCCTGACCTTGAGGGAAGGGAGCACCTCTGTCCCAGGGATTCCGATGTCACTGGAAAGGCAGGAAGACGAGGCACCTGGTCTCTAGGTTCAGGCCAGCGTTGGGGCTGCCCCCACCTATCCCTGACTAATGCAGCCTGAACCTCGTGGAGGCTGCTTTTCTGAGCTCTTAGCATACTGTTTTCTGCTCCTGCACCCCCAAATTAACGCAGTCCTGCCCGTGGCTGTCGTTGTCACCAGGCCTTGCAAACACCTCCGTTGGACTTAGCCCAACCTCCCTGGAAACACCGGGGGTTCTGGAAGGACTGCGGTGGTAAAAGTTGTGGTGCTCCCTGGGACGCTAATTCAGAGTGTGATTGTGTGCGGCTGAGGGTTTAGCGGTAGGTGAGGCCACGTGGACTGATGACTGTGGACGTCCACCTGCAGGGATGGCCGTGGGCCTGCGTGTGTCTGTCAGCGTGGCCAGGGGCAGGCTGGTGGTGCTGGCAGCTGCTTCCATGTAGGCGAGGGGAGGGCCTCTGCCTGTAACATGCTTCCGTTGTTCCCCCTGGATCCCAGCCCAGGGATTGGGAGAGGGAAGGGGAGCTCAGCTTCGCTGGGCCCTAAGCTGCTCCTGGGAGAAGAGAAGGATCCCGGTATCCGGGCAGAAGCCTCGGGAAGGGCTTGCCTCTCCCTGGCCCAGGGCTAACTCGACCTCTCTTTTCTGCAGATTTTCCGCCGCGCGGACAAAAATGGTGAGTCTCTTTTCTAGGCTGCCTGCCGCCCCGCTCCTGTCCTCGTGCTTCATGGGGAAGGGACCTGGGATAGGAGACACGAGCTACCTTGAGCCTAAAGGTTTGGAGTGCAGGGCTCTGAAGTTAGAAGGCCAAATCCTTCCTCTGCTCTGTGCCTCAGTCTCCGTATCTGTAAAATGGGAATCCTAGTAGGGCCTATTTAGTAGGGATCCCCCCACCTCGAGGGCTCAGTGAGTCATTGTGATGCCAAGAACGATGGCTGGCCGTGGTACGTGCTGGGTGTATGTTAGGTCTTTTTGTAGATGGGCTGGACCAGAGGAGCCCAGGCTGGGGCCCAGGAAGCCCCCAGCCTCACGCTAGGCTCTTTACACGCTTTGATGCACTTCTTCCTTGTAGCAGCCTGAGCAGTCAGCGCTCTTACCTCTGTTGACACCATAGTGGCCCAGAGAGGTTAAGCAGTTTGCCCAGCTGCGTGAAAGAAGAGGAGGCTCTCCTGTACACCTGGGCCCTTTTCCCGGTATCTCTTAGTCTCTTCAAAAATGGGAGCAGCCCCTCATTGTGGCCACGGAATTCGTAGCACTCGGCTTCTGCTGACTCCTTGGACGGGCTCCACCTGCAGAAGGTGCTTGAGAATAAGGCCCAGCTGAGCCTCAGCTAACAAAAAGCTCCACACCTCGTAGATACCACAGTCACTATTACAGGCACGGCACAGCTTGCTGTGGAGTTCAGCCAAGACGTGTTCTTTCTCTGGGCCTCGGTTTTCCCGTGGCTAAAGTGGCGCAGTGACACTTGCCTTGCCTACTTCCCTGGGTTTTGAGGAAAAGCCAGGGAGGAGGTGTGGGTGACAAATGTTTTTAAAGCGTTTTAAAAACAAGCGTTTTTCAAGTACTAAGTCTGTTCAGGGGAAGAGCAGGCAACAGAGACCCTGTGAGTTGCCCCCGGGCCCTTGGTCCCCAACCCCCCCTGGCCCCAGTTCCTCACCTGCACAAGTTGAAGTTGGGGATGGCAGCTCTGGCCTGGGTCCCCAGCACCCCGCCTCATGCCTGGGGGTTCCTGTTGACGTCTCCTACTGAGGGCGGTGGCAGGGTGGAGTTGGAGGCTGGAGTTGGGTGGGGGGTGGGTGGGCAGGGGCACAGGTCTGGGCTGGAATCAGCTCTGAGAAGTCTCCCTCCTTAACCTCCCGCATCCCTGGGGGTGATGGTGACTGCTCCCAGGCCTCTGGGGATGAAGGCCCATCAGTAGCGATTCTATACAGAGCAGAGGAGGAGGGAGATGGACGTAGGGAGATGAGCTGGTGCTGGAAGAACGGCCATAGCATTGCAGACTGAAAAGCCTTGGACAGGAGCCAGGGGAAGTCAGGGGGCTGTCCCCTGAGATGGAGTCTCTGGCACCCTCAGCGTCATTGCCTGTGTGCTGGCCTGGCTCCTCCAGCAGGTTGAGAGGCATGGATTTGGGTTTATCGCTTCTCCTGGGCCTGATAGCCAGCACACCGCAGGGCCTCGGTAAATGTCTGTAGACTTGGTGAACGTGTGTGTTGGTGAGAGCGTGGCTGTTTGTTGGTTTCTCAGTGACGCAGCAGCGTGTGGCTGTTGGCAGTGCATGTGTCCGGTGTGGGTCTCTCGCCTGCTGCAGAGCATGTGTGGGCCTCTAGCCATGGCTGTACACCCCAAGTATGTGTACAGCTTGTGCGCGTGTGTGGCTTCCTTTGTGTGCAGTCCGCAGAAGCCATTGCAGCGTATACACATGGGCGGGAAGTACCTGGCCACCCGTTGGGCACAGATGGGGTCTGTCCTTGCTTCGGGCTCCTCCCGTCAGAGGCCATCTGTCCACTCCCGAGCACAGCTGTGGGACCCTCAGTTTCATTCCTGCAGCCACCACAAAGGCCGAGCCTGTTCCTCCTCCTCCTCCTCGGGTCTTCCATCTTCCCAGCCACCAACATGTGGCCATGGGGGGCTGTCACCAGGGTGAATGTGGGTGTGAGATGTGCTTCCAGCAAGAGCATCCCAGGTCCTGGAGCCTGACTGCCTGAGATCAAGTCCTGGCTCAGTGGCATACTGGCTCTGACCTTAGGCAAGTCACCAAACTCTCCAGCCTCAGTTTCCCTATTTGTAAATGGGAATTGTAATGACAGCACCCACCTCATAGGGCTCTCTGAGGACAGAGTTGCGCTCTTGGCTTGGCTGAAGATGTCAATCGTCCCACAAATGGCTGGGAAATGAGAGTCTGCAGGCGTGGCTTGTCCAGAGGGGTTCGATTCCCGGTGCTCAGCAGGGAGTTAGGTCTGGTGGAGGCTGCAGCAGTCACTGAACATCTATTGTGCACCAGGACTTGAATGTGCTTTCTCCTTTAATCTTCACTGTGATCCTACTGAGACAAGAATCAACCCCCACCCTCTTTCCAGGTGACAAAAACGAGGCTTGGAAATGGCACATGACATTCCTCACATGGTCGGGGGGCAGTGGTGCAGGCAGGTTCTGACTCAGTGCAGCAGCTTCAAAGCCTTGTGTAGGAGTGGGTGGGACTTGGTGTGGGTATAGATAGGGGAGTGGTGTGTGTGGATAGAATGGCTGGGGAAGGAGGAATGAGTGTAGGGGTGAGATTAGGTGTCAACAGGATGCCGGTGCAGGGATGGGAACAGGAGTGCAGGGGTGTGGGTGCAGGGAAGGGAACAGGAGTAGAGGGGTGTGGGTGCAGGGATGGGAAGAGGAGTGCAGGGGTGTGGGTGCAGGGA